GACTGACCTTAACTAAGTTAACTGACTTCAAATCACTTCAAAATGTATCCGCGTTAATTATTACGTAATTGCGCTTTTCCTCTGTATGTTGCTGGTCGTTGCGTGCTTTTGTTGTTAATTTTAAAAACTAAAACTTCTGCAATATTTTCCCAGGAATAGGAACACGTTGGACCGATAACAAGACTCTAGAGAATCTGGTTCATTTATAGCTAATGTCACACAAACTCGAAAACTTGAAGGCGAAAACCAACAAACTCGTTAGAAGAGCAGGCGGCCAAGACAGGATTCTAGGTGAACAATGGAGAAGGCGGAGGTGATGAAGCCAACCAACCAACTACCAACAGCAACAGTCAGCACCAATCACCAACAACGGGAGAGATTTAACAGAGGCTACCTCCTTCACTTAGCATCGTTTCAACCACAGAAAGTGAGAATGGATGAAGATGTCATAGCCAGTCAGAATCGGAAAGACAAGATACGCCTTCATCAGTTTGGAAATCTTCTGCACGCCTCCTCAGTATAAAGAACAAGATTCGCTTTATCAACACAAATGTGAAGTCAGTCAGTTCTTCTAAACGGGTCAGAAATCCACGCCACCTGTCACACAAAGGAATTCTAACATGCTACTGCAGACTTTTGTCAACAGCTACCAGGTTTGCCGGCTCCATACTGAAGATCAAATGGCCAGCTGGTCAGAAAGAATTAGTAACAAGAAACTCTGACTGGGAAAATGGAGATGGATTGGGCATATATTCAGGAGACTATCGAGTCACGCTTGGAAGCGACAAGTGGGTTGTCCTGGGGTGACATGTATGAGGTTGTGCGAAGAGGAGATGTGAGATTATGGGCAGTCATGGAGGCAGCTTGAGTGGACAACAGAGAATAAAATAAAGTGGAGATTTGTTGTTTAAGCCTTATGTTCCCCTAGGAACCCAAGGGAATAATAATAATACTATCATCACACTTTACCCATTGTCGGTCCCCTAGGCTACTGTCTTCATACTGAACCTCTGTTAACAGAATACAAACTGTATGTACTACATGTCTGTATATAGTTGAAGAGAAGCTTTGAAATAAAATAGGCACATTTTATACTGTAAATTTTGTTCTTCTCGCTTTGATGAAGGTAACTAAGAGAACAGGTTGTATAAATTTAACTAGATTTGGAACGATTGACCCTGATAAATTCAGCAATCTAGAAAAATGATAAGCCACTACAGAGCATTCATTTGCAAGTAATCACACAATAGGATGGGACAGTAGGTGAAAGTATTGACAAGTGATATAGTTAGGTCTAGAGAGACAGACAGAGAGGTTCATCACCGAATTTTTACTTATCCAAAACGACACTAAGCGCATTTACAACACCTAGCCCGGATGTATATAAAATTGTAATAGAGAAACAAGAGTGAATGAGGCTATATAAAGCAATTTAGGTAAATACAGTACAGAGGAGCTGTGCAGTTGTACAGTGTTCATTTATTGATATCAGTTGGTAACAAGACATGTCAGGAAAAATAGTGTATGAATTACGAAACTTAGTTAATTAGTTTAAAATAGTCTAAAAAGCATTAGAGGATGAAAATCCCTGAGCTTTGATTACAATTAAAACGGCAAGCACTTGGAATATTATCCATAAGAGTAACACTTATAGAATAATGTAGTTAACAAGTCAACCTTATTTCCACCTAAAGACTAAAAGATAATTTGTTCATTCAACAACTTGATGCTAAACGGAGACATATGCACTCTTAATGGATGTCAAACTAAAATGCTTCTCGGTCTTCAATGAATTTTTAAGTGGTTCCACAGCTGACATATATGCATACCAAAATAGACGGAAAATTATGGAAATGTCTTGTGTCTGTTTTAGCTGATATCTATAAAAAAGGGGGGACTAGACGAATAGTTACAAGACATCTTAGAAAATCATTTCTGACAGTTATTTACAGGATATCATGGATCTAATGAACGTAACGGAACAAGTGCTTCATTGCCTTTCTAGAATTGACTGATAAATATAAACTCCTGATGGGAGCAGACTAAAATAAAATTACAAAAATTCTCAAATATTCCCAGTGATAAAAGGATGTACATCGCAGCGTACTTTGAGTCTACTTGGTTACGAAGAAGACAACTGCACACCTAAATATCGACTACAAAGGTTGTTTTTCGATCGTCAAGTTGACTTTTAAAATTCATCAAAGACTACACGCATGATTCCAGTTACTTAATACCTAGTGTCCATTCAAAGTGTGCATTACAGTCCGGAAGAAGGTCAACTGCAAGTCCACCGAATACCTCGGTGGTAACATCTCAGCTTACAGCACTGGGCAATTCGGATCTGAATCTCAGAACGGATATGAGTTTCTTCAAGATTGCAGATATGCCTTTCTGATGAGTGCCAACAAGGAAGAAACTTAGGTCGAGGGTTTCCTGCCGATTCCCTCCAACGATCTAATAACAAAAGAGTATTGTGTAGACACTTGGCAGTACTGATAATATGCATATTGATGAATATACTCATGTACACAGTTTTAGCACAGAGTCAAAAGAATGTACTTATTCATAACCAAAAAAGACAAGAAATGGTATAATCACTATGGGCATGTATCAGTTATTATTATTATTCTATTCCTTTACGTTACCATTGGAACATAGGGTTTCAAGCTAGAGCTTTGAGGCTTCAATAACAGTGGCGTTTGTTTTTACGGGATAGGGTTGCTAGCCTCATGCCCAACCTTTCCTCTTCACCGGTCTTAATACTGGCTTAGCGAAGTTAAGGTGTGTGTCGATGGCCGGGGATCGAACCCCAGACCATGTGCATGGTCGGCGAGCGTCCTAACCACTGTATAACTGACGCATATAATATATATATATATATATATATATATATATATATATATATATGGAGAGAAGTGCAGTGACAGTGTTGTCAGGATAATGGCATCACTCCTGAACACTTTCCTCATCTTGAAATATACCCAGTCAAAACACTCCCAGTGTCTAGGTTCAATAAGCAAGCCTACAATGTAGGGAATATCCTACGGAAGGTTAACTTGATACGTGCGTGTGTGTCTATTTCACTTCCTTTAGTGAGTCGGCTAATAAAATCTTTTACAGAACCTTTTGCTGATCTGCATGATAATTATATTGCCAGTTGCTGTAGGAACTTGATTTTTCGTGCCCCAGAACAACTACCAGTATGGCTAAGTAAAGGTGTAGTGAAAACCATCAACAGTTGGATATTGGACCATCTGGTCCAAACTGGCCACAAAGACAGCATTGAATAATCCTTCTCTATCGTCTAACAGGTGCCAAATAAATTCCCAAAAACATCGACGTACCACTTGCTCCAAACAGCAGAGGCTATCACGATTCGCCTGAAACAATCAGTGCTTTGTATACAAAAGAAGCTAGTTCAGCCAGTCACTACTACTGCCCTGGCCAGCCTTCAGGGGAGAAGACTACAAATTCATGAAATTGTAATATTATCTTTCTTAATTTCTCTGATATCTAGTGTATTGTTGTTTGAATGCCATCGAACTGAAATCCATTGATATTATTATTGACTCCATGTTATTTAAGCAACATTAATGTTGTTAATAACCCTAATTCATTGACTATTAGAGCCTGATGAAGAGCAGGTTATCGAAAAACATATTCTTTGTTCAGTTACCATTCTTTTGAAAAATTTTAATGGGCATTTTTAGTCAATTTTAGAAATCCTAAATTTCAAATAAGAAACGTCGAATAAGAACAAAAATTGGAGCACTGTGGTGGTGCGTAATGCTACAATTAAAGTCTTCTTTTTATTATGGTACTAAGTGACACAATACTGTTATTAGCATCATTCACCTACAAGAAGTATTTCGTTATTCTATAGCAGATTATGTTGCCTATGGAACTGTACAGTAAGTAATTCTAACCCGTTAGTTTGATCCCATCAATTCCCAGACTATACTATTCTTTCATTATTTCAGCTGATCGTCTTATCACAACTTTTGTTCTTCACTCTTTCAATCATTTGCATTCCGAGTGAAACATACGCCTATAGACTTTGAATATGCATTCATTGGTGTTTGTGTCACTAACCCACTCCACTCCACTCCTCTCCTGCATGTTCAGTATCCGCCAGTACACTAGACAAGGTTTACACAGGAGTGCTTCGGCCTGGAATCGAACCCGGATTACGTGCGTGGTTGGCCAGCATCCCACAGCTGAATCGCCGATACACAAGAGCCCGGAAGTCGACACACGGTGTTCCCAGGTAGTGTAGTTATCCACTCGAACGTTGCCTAACTTCGTTAATCAGTAGTATGGTTATCGGCAAAGGTTTCATATACTTAGTAAGATTCTATACGATCAGTGATTTCCTGAAGCCTATATCAGCAGCATACTTCCCCCTTCCTATTCCACCAGACTTCAACATGCAATGTGAATATTATTTCAAAAACTAAGCCTTATTTGACAGACAGACAAACAGACGCAAAAAGAAAGAAAAATATTTGTATGAAAGTCAAAAATACTTTCCTATTTCTCTGTACCTTCCAACCAGGATAGCCCACTGTCTCACTGGATATACTTCTATGACCCCTAATATGATCAATAGTGAATTGATAATTACATATATGAGAGAAGGTTATTGAAGAATTGAGTTGATCTGTATCATAAACAGGTATAAGTCTGAATTGTTACGCACTTAAGTAATAAAGTGAGTAGCTATCGCTTAGCAAGAATATGTAGCATAATTGAAGCCTAACCTTTAAATTTCACGTAATCTGATCAATGCAACTGACTAAACATGCATATATACATGCATATACATATGTGTGTGCATAAGTCATTCAAACGGAAGTGGTTATAACAGGTAGAAGATATTGATAATCATGTGAATGGTATTAAAAATTTATTACTGTTATATGATTCATCGACTAAGAGAAATTGTTAATCGGAATCTAATCTAATCTTTTCTTCTTCTTCAAATATCAACAACTCACCGATTGATAATTGTGTACAATGTCCGAAAATTGAATAGAGCAAAGGACCTAGGAATCCGACATATAAGCCGTAAACAGGCGGTAAACCAGCAAGTAAAGAATACGCCATGCCTAAAGTTAAAGATAGGAAAAGTGATTAACATTTTATTGATAATAATAATAATAATAATCCTTTAATAATACTGGAAGCACGAAATTCTCACTAGCCGCTTAACATTTCCAGCAGAATTCCCCTTGATTGGATACTAGTAACTAGTTTTATGCGTCTAGTCCTTTATTACTTTGGTGCAGACTGAATTCTACCAAAGTACCCACTACGGTCCTACAGGGAGTCATTCACGAGCCCGAATAGCTTAGTGGTAACGTCTTTGACTACAGCACTGGGTGAAGCAGGTTCGAATCTCAGAAGGGATACGAGCTGTTCCTTCAAGGTTGTAGATACACTTTGTTAACTGGTAAGTGCCAACTAGCACAAAACCTAGATCCAAGGCTTCCTGTGGCCGATTGCCTCGAACAATCTAATATCACCAGAATTCCCCTTATTAATTGTATGCGTCGGTGGCACAGTGGTTAGGACTCCGCCGACCATGCACATGGTCCGGGGTTCGAGCCCCTGGCATTTGGCCAAATCTAAAACGTGTAAAAAAAATTAATGTGAAACACTGTCCAATTCTTTTTGTTTTCTGTGTTATAAATATCAGTCTGAAAATGTTGAAAGTTTTTGAAATATTCTGATAAATTTTCTATGACATTCGTCGGAGAGAATAAGGCCTAACAATAAGTCACTGGTTGGATTTCTAGCTACAATCAACCTACTACACATTCAAGAGACGAGAAATTATATACCAGATTTTTCAAGCGGTACACTGTCAAGGCAAAGAATATGTCACATTAAGACAGACTTCTTATCTTTATTAGTTCAGCTGTTCAGACAAGATATTTCGTTTACCAGGCTAAGAGTCACACTCATCTCAAGACTCGAACCTGACACCTACTGGGTTAAGACCCAAGAACTTGAGGCAATGAGTCACACCTCGATAGAACATTAAAATTATGTTCCAAATACAGACCGTTGTGTATAGTCATATTGTGATAGTCACACGGTTCCTAAGAATTCGTTTTTAAAATCTGTACACTTCTCATTTCTTTGAAACTCTCTCACACAGCACTTATCGTTGAGATCAACAACCAAAAGTATAAATTAAAATTGTGTTGTCATGGTGAAAGACAATATTTGTAGGAGGGGATGTTTACACAGGTATTTAAAATGAGAGACCATCTGTGTATACCTAGTTAAAGTGCAGTGTTTCTCTGGTTCGTTGATAAGAAGTTTATATTCTACAAAAGAATGATTTGAAAATAACGGAATCGGAACGGCATACATGGATGAAGCCTGCGACGACAAACTCAGACAACAGACAGTCGACATTAATGGAAATAGTAAAGTCACAAGAATACTGCATACCAGTAAAGTATATCATTAGCCAGGCAGACCTAAGGATAATACTGCAGTTCAAAAGCTAAACTGTAAGTTCAGCCTACATGTTCAGTATACCATGAAGTCAGGTAAGTGTCTAACAGCCTTGAATCAAATTCATATTGTCTACATTTGCCTAAGTTGAATTCATACTGATTCATTGAGGAATTGTTCACCTCAAAGCTTAGTTTCCCTTCTAGATTATCAGTGCTTACTCTACTGACCTGTAATGAACAGGCTTTCAGATTTCAACTAAATAATATGCTTCAGCCAACTGAAGGTCATCCCATCCCATCCCTAGTGAAAACTGTGAAATGTATATAAATTTGGTTATCTGAATGATGAATACCAATGTCTATGTTGTTCGGACTCAGTTATCCAGTTCTGTCATATGTCAAGGATATGAGCTACATAACTATTCTGTGACCGCTAATGATACTAGCCGATTTTTTAAAAATTCCTTTACGTTCCCAGAGGAACATAGGACTTTAAGCTTGAAGTTTCGGTAGCAGTGGTGTTTATTTTTACAGGATGAGGTTGCTAGCCACATGCCCAACCAGTCTGATGACTGGGTTAGCGAGGCAAAGGAGTGTTTTGGCAGCCGGGGATCGAACCCCGGACCGTATGTGTGGTAGGCAAGCATTTTACCGTTGTGCCACCGACGTTACTACCCAATTGCCTGGGTTGAATTAGGTGGAACAGGATCCGGACACTCGTTAACTGCGCTGAAAGCCAAGTGCTTCATACAAAACACAGGCAACTAGCTTTAATGACACTATAAACTTCTGAAGTTACAAAGAAGAAATAAAGAAGCTAGGGGAAACGGCACTTATTGGATCGAACACCAAGAAGATGAGGCTATTAATCTGTCAGAAAACGTCTCTGCACAGTTATGTCTATTTGTAGATATCGTACAACTTCTGATTGCATCATTCTATTAACGCAGTATCGTATGTAATAAAACAGATTACAAATCGTTCACAGTCTTGTGTCGGAGGAACACTTTTCGCATTCCTGGCATTCTGTATGAAACAAAGGACTTCAAGCCTTTTTGAATTTTCAACCGGGTGGTGCTGCTAGTCTCACTTCAAACCTCCCTCCTTTTCCGCGCTTACTAGCGCAACTAGTAAACCAGGCAAGGTTTACGAATAAGAAGACATGGAATTGAACCTGCAGTGTGACTGGGGAGCATCTTACCAAAATACCCCGAGAGCATCGTGGTTTCCACTTATAAAATGTCCAGATAATCCTAGACTGTATTTTAAGGTAAACTCACGATAGTCAGTTTTATTCTCAACCTTTAGAATCAGAATCTAGTGAGTTGAAAAGCAGAAATCAGTAAAGAGTTATGCACTTATCGATGAGTAGATTTGGTTGCGCACACACTTAATAAGCACATGAGTCTATTTCGAATTCTACTGCCATTCAGGGTTTCTAGAAGTCATTTTTCTTTTCTCTGATCATCATTAATGAACAGAAAACCAGACACTTCAACTGTACAAGCAGTTGCTTCCTAACTTTCATAATATTTACACAACTATTGTAATTTGAATAAGTATGCATGATGGACTTATACAATGGCTTCTGTGAAATTCACATAACACCTTGACGAGATTAGTCCAGTTAAATAATATTTCCCCAATGAGTATTACTCTCTTTGGCTTCTGCTAATGAGTAAATGACTAATAAATGAACATACAGGCCTACCTAGTGAAGAAGGGAAAAGCTCTGATTTACAAACTTATGGTGTACATCAGCCCCAGACCCATCCGGATGGATCTAATGACGTATCAGCCAGTTTTGATCGTTGATAACCATGTGAAGGCAGCTTCTAATACAGCTCCACTGCCTTGTATTGTAAATCAGAATCCAGGTAAAAAGGCCCAACTAGTAGCCCCCCTTAAGACAACTACCTGCTTCGGTCAGGCTATCCGGAAAGTATCCTAACCATCGCACAAACTATGAGATTTTGTGTAGCGAGTCACTTGGTGTCCATAATGTATCAACAAATAATAATAAATAGAACAACTATAAGCGACTGGTAACATTAGAGTGAACATAGCTCATCAGTAAGTTATGTAGTTGTTGGTGTGAAACCGTCTATCTGAATGTAAACACTGACCAGTCATTTGTAATTGATTTTATAGACCTTTGTGATCATTTGGAGCCAGGACAACTTGGACTTTACAACAATTGAATACCAACTTATCAGATTTGTCAAAAACTGAGTACTGATAAGATCTATAGTTCGAATTAAGAATAATGGCTTTTGCAATTGATAGTGTTCTCTGAGCTCCTTGGTTTAATTGCGGAGCTTTCATCGTCTTTCTGGACACTATCAATTGCAAATCATCCACCTGAGTTACAAATCTTTTCTATTATTTCAATAATGGCTTTTACTGAACATTCAAGAGCTAAGGTGTAATACACTCATAACTAGTGAGTGGTTCCACCTAATTGTATCATTGTCTACTTGATTTACGCTATAAATGTATCTCCGGTATTCAGATGTTTCAGTTTTGAAATTATCCAAGTAGACAACTAAAGTAGGTGAGAAGATGGGTCACTTGGGAGAGGCGTGTATAGAAAAAGCACATTCACAGGGCAATACACATTCAGCTCCTTAGTTACGTGCCCGTTAAATATAAAAGAAGTGTTGTTAAATGTCTTACCAGCAGAGCAAGAAAGATATGTACGGAGGACTTCTTAAAAAAGAAATTTAAATATATTCATGATTCCTTGACAGAGATGGGCTGGCTATCCGAGTAGTTTCATAAAGAAACATATATGAAAACATCAGAGAGAAAACCTGAGACTCTGACTGCACGTTAAAAACCTCCATTTATTAAGTTACAATTTAATGGTGACTTATCAAGTGAGATTTTATTCCAGAGACTTTCAAGGAGTAAACGAAGAACGTTTTACGCAGCATACCTATGTTTGTCATTCTCTAGCCGACGAATGATTGGGACGCAATGAAGGAAAAGCTAGATAGTTTTGCCACATCTATGTGCATTTATCAATTCAACTGCACCTGTGGTGACAGGGTTACGGATACTACCGAAAGAGTTGCTTCCAAATAATGCGGTAAATATACTCCAACAAAGGTAATTGTATATACTTATTTCCTGCGTTCCTAATGATCTAGTGACATCAAAACTAGATGAAAAATGAACTCTTTCTACTGATAACCATACGAATAAGTCAATGAACAGTGGCTTTTTCTGAATTCGCAACTACCCTCTACCTCGGCCTGCCAAACTGTATTCATGAGTTGTGGTACTGCAGTATCATGGCCTAATATGTGCTTTGCAGTAAGTCGAAAACAGAAGAACAATCAATACATAAATAAACGGAAGTAGTCTTGGAACACCTGACTTCAAAGGTCATGATATTACGAGCACAGCATTCACCAGGACAGACAGACATACCCGGCAAAAAAACTAGTCTTATTACACCGAACATCCAGCTAGTTGGTGTCGTCGAAAATCAACAATCTACACCTTATATGTCACATTCAGTTGTGTATATCAATTCACATACAACTGTGGGGGCAGTAATATAAGGAAGAGAAAGAATGGCCCGTGTAAGATTCTTTGAACATGTACTTGTCAACTAGCTAACACCTGATAGACACAGGACACTCTATATAGATGCACTAAGAGCTTTCCACAAGATAACCAAATACAACAAACATGCCAAATCTTCTCTAGTTTTCTGAAGCTATCACAAGAAAACGCCTGAAAACTGACATTTGTATCTAAAAGGAGTACCTCGTTGAACTACAATTACCTTGGTTGGTAACTCTCATCTTAATTAACTCCTTGCCTTCTGATTTCATCACTTTGCCACTGCCGCACCTCTTTTTTTAGCTAGACTTCCATATGGCTTAATTTTGACCCTTCGAATTCCAGTAACTGTATTATATCGAAAATAAAATAAATAAATAATATCAACATCTTTCCATTCAAATTTGTACATACCAGGTTTTGTTTTCCCATCTCTTATGAGCTGTAAGCATTGTGTTTATTTATTTATTCTGAGCCGATGTTTGCTTTCTTTCAGTTCAAATTCATAAAGGGGAAGTCCTTACAGAACTTGCAAACAGACAAAATTCTAAGCTAACAGACCAAAGAATATATCTGTGTATATATGAGAGTCATTGAAATACAGTTGATGCATAAGACTGACAACATATATTGAGCTAACCACTTTGCATACAACGTTTGAGATAGACAATCAAACCAAGTGAGTCAATAATAGATATAGTAGGATGTAACTAAAATGTCTCCTAATTTAAGATGGATGCTAGCTAATATATTTACCATTTTAGCTTAATATGAATAAATATTGACAATAGCACTAGTACATAACTGACTCACTAATTTATAGGTTGTCACTGTTCTGTAGTTTCTATGAGATGACGAACAATCAGTATACAAATATATGCGCAGAAGCAACACAATCTACTGGTTCCGAATGCAGACGCTTTAAACAAACAGATGGAATAAGCACAAAGACGATAGTAACATACACTAGATATTAAAGGAAAGCTCGATGACTTGTTAAATATATGTAGCCTAACTTCCTTAAAACATCATTTTGTTTGAAGTGGGATTCAAATTTCGACGATAAAAAAAATGAGGTGGGCAATTCGAACACTACACTACTCAAACTGAGCATACATAAGAGCAAACAGGATTGAATTCTTTTTCTGACCAGAAGAAGTAGTAGTAGTGAGTACATAAATAATAGTAATAATACAAATAATTGATGACACTTGCCTTGTGGGATATTCAGAATACCTATCGTTAAACCACCAGAAACATCTTTTAAAAAATCTGATCGCCAGTTATAATTCAGCAGTGTATTAATACACGGAAAGACAGACAATAGACAGTACAACGAGTACGATTTGCATTGTTGTCTGCTACAACAAAACAATGACTTGAAACAATTTCTCCATCTGTTTTTAGTACTTCTGCCATCACCATCACCACCGTTATCATTCTTAGACATTAGGGAATCCCAATCTGCAATCGGTCGATTAAATGTAATACGTCCAAGGTGAGCATTTGTGACAAATTTACTATCAGACATATCCTGATTCTCATCGATTGGCACAGTGAATCTCGGCCTAGGATAAGCCTCAACTTCACCATCAACTGTGAAGTAGTTTGACATCTGTGTTGTATATATATATGTATATATGTATTTTTTTCAACTAGTCGACTACTATAATGTGTTATCATACTTAAAAGCTATCTTTTTATAATAATTGACTAATTTTCAATAAAAATGGACGAACACATAACCTAAATCATGATTCGCGAGTAACTAAGAAATCCAATCATAGACATTGTGTGCACAAACACGTACGCACGCGCACGCACGCACATACACACACAAATAAACGAACGAACGAAACACTTCACACTACAAGTTCATTATATACGCACTTGTTGAACTTCTAAAAGATTACATAAATAATACATGAGCAATGTGCGATAAAAAAAATTCAATAATTAGAAAAAAAAAGGAAACACAAAACCGAAGCACAAAATATTTTAGGCAAAATAGATTTTTTTGGTGGAAAGAGAATGATACACAGGAAAAGTTTGAATTTGCCAACAACAAGAGAGAGAGAGAGAAAATGGAGTCAATTTACATGGGTATATATATGTGTGTGTATCTATCGTCTAAAGAACGATAACCAATTTCCGTTCATTCTTTTGTTTGTCCTCTCTAGAAGAAAAATCATCAACACTGTGTAATCATCGTCGTTATCAGTATAGTCAACATCATCATCGTCATGACCGTTAACTGTTTTATATATATATATATATTCACAAAAACTGGATTTATTCTCATTCATCTGTTGTTAATACAGGAATATGTGTATATGTATATGTATCTTTATATAAATATATATGTATATGAATATTTAAATGTGTATATATTCAACCACTGATATCACTGGACTAATTAATACAACAACAAAAAGGATAACAGTGGGGCTTGTGCAAGTAAAACACACGCGCACACACACACACATCGTTTATACATTTATAAATCGGTAAAAGTTGTCGCTTATTTTTATTTTTATTTTTTTATGAAACACTGAAAAAGTAAATAAAAATTGTTAATAATATAATTAATAACTACAACTTTAAAGCATCTGAAAGTAGAAAAGAAACATCTCTTTCACTAATTCGATTTGAGGATATAGGAGTAATATTGGATGATAAACTGATATCTGTGACAGGTGAATTCCAATTGCCAAGAACTTTGAAGGCGTTCTCATTCTCTGTCATACCATCAAAACTAGAGCATGGTATTGAACCGGTGGACGACTTTGACTTCCTGTTTCGAGGACCACCACCACCACCAACACGAGTAGTGTCGTCTTCATCATCAATTTGATCAACATTCTCAGACTCGCAACCAGTTACATTTCGCTCGATTTGTAATTTCTCCGATGCTCGGCGTAGTATACCCTCTTCAATAGTGCCTTCGGAAACTAGGCGTATGACATGAACAGGACTGAAAACAAAAAGCACAACTGCTTGTTAGGACATAAGTTCTTCCTAATAAAGAAAATTTAACAATATTTCAGTCAGCTGAACTACATTTTTCAATAAGAAAAAGATATAAAATGCTAAGTAAGATATTTTAACTACTCATTGATAATTTTATGCGCAGTTTAAAATTGTAAAATGCATATATACACAAACTAAAAGTAGCATTTCACAACTTAGGTATTCCTGCATAGAACTACACGTACGAGACATACATACTGGCGATTTACTGATCAGTTCATAATCTCTTTCACAACATGACTACTCCTCATATTACAGACAATCTAATCATCATTCGGTGATCAGGGTTCAAACAATCAATGTCTTACAACCTTCTGGAGTAGCAGGAGACAGTTAAGTAACGATAAACAATCAGTGTGAATGACAGACTGACTATGTATCATACACGAAGGTGAACCATTATTTTCTCCCAAAATATCGACATCACATCTATAGAAAAAGAAATAATTAAATCACTATATTCCTAAAATTAAACTTAATATACTAGTTTTTAAAAACCATAGAATACAAGGAAATATCAATAGTTGATTAAAAAACCAAGGGAACAGAACAGTAAAGCACACAATTAACTTACTTTTTCTGGCCTAACCGATGACAACGATCTTCAGCTTGTCTATCGTTATATGGATTGAAGTCAATATCGTGAATAATTACAGTATCTGCACCTGTCAAATTGATGCCTAGTCCACCCGCACGTGTCGACAGCAGAAAAACTTCAATGGATGAGCTGAAAAGTAAAAGTAGTCATAATAAAGGTCTCTGATCTCAGTGGCCTAAATAAATAACTAAATAAGGTACAACCTTCGAATAATTAAGAAATCTCTCTCATAGAATGCGTTTTGACTGACATGCTGAATGCAGTGAGTCATTGGTTCAGATGTACAATACCCACACCAGTCACACGTAAGTGGTTCCAACGCACTTCGCCTAACCAGGGAAAGATTGAACTTTGTTCCACAGGGAATGCAAAGAAATTTCAAAAAATAACACGATACGCTGACCATCAATGTTACGTTCCAACTTCACATAAATTTGGGAATTATAGTGGTACTATGAACAATTCAATCATTTCATTAGATCTTAGTCCAGATGTGGGAAACTTTTCAAAGAAGAAATGAAACACGGATGTATACTACTCCACCAACAAATAAAAAAACATAAAAAATGCATGGATATTTACCAACGGCAAAAAGCCTACACAACTATGAGTACTCTTTAAATCTTTTCTTCCGTTGATATGATACAGTGTACATTTGTGCGATACAGTAAAATTTCAAAACACTTTTTCTGTACTGATACATGAATAACTGATGAAATACAAGAGTAAACATAATACTGGTAAATGAGGACAGATTAGCAAATAAAACAAAGACCTTACCTATTAAAACGATCGATTAAGGTTTGTCTTTCAGCGACAGGGGTTGTTCCATCCAATCGTATATAACGCCTATTTGTTGTTCTCAGAAACTCTTCTAATATATCCAGCATAATAACAAATTGGCTAAATATTAAAATACGATGTCCTTCAGAGATCAATTTAGGCAGGTTATTATTCAACCATTCGATCTTTCCAGATCCAGAAATTATTGACTCTGTAGACAGAGCATAAGGAGATAATACCTGGAGCAAAAAATATGTTTTGTGTTATTTAACATGGAAATAACCAACTATCGAATATTGATGATAGGGCAAGAAGTGAAGACGCCTAGAATAATTAATAACAAAAGAAGAGAAACAGTTCACTACGCTACTTAATTCTTATTAAGTAGCAGTAGATAAGGTTGCACAAATTTCATCCCGATACGATATTTCGTAGACGCGTGTATTCAAGTAATTTGAAGGTAATCGCAGGATTTCTGAATCTCTCCGAAAATGTGAATGAACTAGTTAAACAACTAATCAAGGGATTATTAGCAAAATTGTGATCTTTATTTACTAGTGATATGAAACACCTTGAGCTGCAATCTACGAATGTTTGGCATGCGATTCACTCCCACCAAATGCAAGATGATGTTACAGGACTGGACTACACCGACTCCTAGATTAGAAATAGGGAGTGAAGTGGTAGAGCACGTTGACCGCTTCAATTATTTGGGAAGTACCATCAGCCAATGTCAACGCGTTGATCTCTGATGAAATCTCAGCACGAATACAGGGGGCTCGTTTCGCATTTGCCAGTTAACGCCGTCTCTGGCGTATGCGAGATATTCGACTACCAACCTAAGGGCGGGTGTACTGCTCATTAGTTCGCTCCGTCCTCCTTTATGGCTGTGAAACCTGGCCACAGAGAGTGGAAGACATGAAAAGATTAGCTGTCTTTGATCATAGGTGCCTGCATTCTATCTCCCGTGTGAAGTGGTATAATAAGGTGAGCAATACTGAGGTTAAGCGTCGAGTTCTGGGTAAGCAGGGGAGAGCAATCGACGAAGTTGTGAAGTTACATCGACTGAGATGGTTAGGACATGTGTTACGCATCTTTGACTAGTCATCGCCTTCCTCGACAATAGGCAATGTTAGCGGATATGGAGCCAGGCTGGAAAAAAGCTAGCGGAGGTCAAACAAAAACATGGCCTCACCAGTCAATGAAATCTACAACTGTTAGTCTAAGCCACGTAGGAAGGTGTATGTAGACCTCCTGACTGGTTGGGGTCCTCGGGACGGTAAAAATCAATGGTTGGAAACAATTGGTGACATGGCTCAAAGTCGTTCTTAGTGGCGCAGATACATCCACTCCTTGCGACTTATGATTTCCAATGAAACTATATTGTTCTTCGTTACTACTATTCCTTTGTCTCACACCTCTGTTTACTGCCTCTATTATGCATTTCCTCTACTTTCTTCTCTTGCTTTGTGTGGTACAAGGAGGGAGTGTGGCGACTTGAACTGGTGCACATATGTGCAAAGTTCTTTGTTGAAAACAGACAGACAGATCAAAAACTGGCGTTCATTGAGTACGGAGTAGTGAAGAACTTTACCATAACAATAAAATTGAAATAGGAGAAATAAAATAGACAAGTTATGATGGAGATGGTAATAACCTAATGGTACTGAGTAGTATTGATTTTTTTATAATCAGATAGAACAATTTGACTTTAGCAAAAACAAATCGTCCGGATGTAGCACCACTATTAAGGTAGACAGTCAAAATGTGCTTTCTTAGGAATCGACTCACTTTTATGAAGACGGTGATCAACGATGACATTAACAGTATCATAATTTAACATTAATAATATATATATATATATATATATATTAGTAAAGATTAACAATATATTTTTTAAATATACCTCATAAAATTGGCAGAGTTTGTGAACTTGATGATCACTCATTGTCAAAAGGTCTTCATATATGAGATTAGGATCAGCATCGGAAAAACTTGGATCTAGATGTAAAGACTCAGCAATATCCCGTAAATTTGAGTCAGTGTATGCTAATCCGGAAAAAAGAGTTAAGTGATTTGCTGCCTTGCGTAATACCATAACCATATTATATGGGGACTGAAGGGATTCTGAAGCTGCTTTGGAGGGAACTGGGAATGACTTTGTGCCATTCACTAAAAACAATAGAAGTATACAACAAAATGAGGTGAAAGTAAATCTGATGCCAATCAAGTACAAAAAACAAAGTACAATCGTTTGGGAACTCAAAATATACATTGATGTTATATGCAAAAAATAAACTATGTAATTGCAATCAGGAAACATGAAGACAACCAGAAATGGAATTGTAGCTTGGATTCATGAGACCAAATATAATTTTTTTTATTACAGCTTGATTCCACACTATATTTTTGGTACAAGTATGGAATTTTCAGCATGTGATATCGGTAGCCCGAATTTACAGGCCGATCATAGATATCAGGTGTGCTTCGTCGGCAGTGGATCGAACCTCGGACCATGTGCACGGTCGGCGAGAGTCGTAACCACTGTGCCACCGACGCACGAAATGACTGACAGCGTATGTCCACCATCACTATTATTATCCACAGATTTATACAGCTGCATTATTATGTACAAACTTCTACTAGTTACTGAAACAATATCCAAGTAGTCTGGTGAGGTATAACACGCTGATTATTTGGTTTTCGCAGAACAATGAGTGTAATTTGACGTGAAGATTATTTGTAAAACCTTAATTACCCAAACTCATCTCCAACCCTGAAGGCAGAATTCAGCTTACTTGGATTCGAGTCGACCGTCCTTTTAACTGGTGTTCTTCATCACCAACTGTAGCGACTCGCATACTGTTCTATAGTCATACAACGCATAGTTTTGTCACAGCTTCGAAAATCAATTATTCGTTGAGTCTACTTCAAATTTCAATTTCTATGATTGATATGCACTTAAACTGCTTTCCCTCCCATGGATATTCAGAAGTATGGCTCAATTGGATCCTACACTTAACATTCAGAGCCAGTGAGCTGAACGACTAGGCAGAATAGTCAGTCTAGTCACACAATAAGTGTGGACGATAGTTAGGCACATGGGGACATTATTCCGGGTAGGTGAGTTTTACGCCCCCAATTCATGTGATGGACTGAGTTTTTTTCCTGCTATATATATATATATATATATATAGCAGGATTTTTCACATTGCTGAGAATACTTCATTCTGTCCAACGAAACTGGAGGAAGAATTTAAAATAAAAGACGCAAGAAAGGGAGGGGGTGTTATCTTTTTATTTACCAAGTACGTGATAATCGTGGTTTCGTTATGTTACCTAGTGAGACCAAACTCTGTTGTGATGGAATGAAGGGGTTCGAACCCTGGATCTTCCGGTTGCAGGGACAACTAGTAAACCATTCATCCGAGACCTGATCAAATGGCTCATGAAATCCAACTCCTACTGATTCAAAATGTTTAGAGCAACCGCCAACCAATGCCATCGGCGAGTAACTGCTACCTTACTTAACTCGATGCATCTTTGCTGGTCACGACTTCACACTACAACTCCAGATAAGCGTATTTTGCACGGTTAATCAAACCAGCCTACATGAAAAGGAACTTTACTAACTATTGAAAGTTGAAAGGTGTAACATTTTAAGAAGGAAACAACGAAAAAAACATTGGCTGAGTCTCACAAAATTACGTATCCAGTCAATCAATGTTTCAGTGTATATCTTCACTCTTACTACTTGTAAGTAATTTACTGAAGTTATGTAAAATTTAAACCTGGACAATTTTTGTTATATGGCAACAAGATATAGAGAGGTACAGGTGGCATTAAAAACCAGACGGTCAATTTACGTGAACGGGAAAATAATTCTTGCTCTATTACAATTTCATTATGAATCAATATCAGTTAGAGAGATCATTGAAAACTAGATAGCAATGGACACTTACTTCGTCTTAGTTCGTGATCGTTCAGCAGTCAGCATCTACAACTACTCCCTACCAGGGAATGAACTCAGGACCTTCGTGTTACGAGACCGAGCTCGCCGACTACTCACAGTCGCCTTTGACTGGAATTCAATGCATTCTAACTTCGACAATGCGTGATATACCGCTACGCTTAAATCAATGCCTTCGATGAGCACCCACCCACTTCACCTCGACACTACTATAGGCCTGACAGATAACCACTTTTCATCACAACTTCAGTACTGATGAAGAGCCGCAAACTAGGATAATAAAGCTCATGTGCAGATGTGTGTCCGCAGTATTCAATGATCACTAAGTAATATTAGTTCGTAATGAAATCAAAAACAATTTGTGCTACCTAGGTTCATCAAATGAATACAATACACTGAGGCAAAACAAAACGCTGAAATTCACCTGTAGTAGTTGTTGTCGTGGGTGAATGATTATCGAAACGAGGTTTTTTCTTCAAAGTATGATCACTTTTAGAATTACTAACATCTGGATTAGCATTTTCATCACCATCGTTGCATTTGTAATCTAATAGTAGGGATGTATCTTGGCCATTGCTTGTATCTTTAGTAGAAATTCGCTGAGAACGGAATCGTTTAATCAGATCATAGTAATGATTCGTTTGGGATTTTGTCATAGGCACTAAAACCACTTCAGTGGTCTTCGGAGGAAGTTGACTAAGAACCTAGGAAGCAGGAAAAGTGTGAAACAAGGAAATCACTGAAAGTACTACACATTCACACATAAAAACTTAGACCAAAAGGCAGTAATTACAAAGTTATAATAATGCGGAGCTAGCGGTATTGTATCACGATGGAACACGAAGCAATGGGAAAGCTTATCACACAAAATAGAGTTTCTGACAGTTGATCAATATCTTTATTTTGAATAACGCCTTCCCCAGGAAAAAAATCAAGCGGAACACTACTAGGACAATAAATTAAGAACTCCACATGTAGCTGTAAAAACAAAATAAGCAATACACGATGAACTAACTGTAAGGCGATCGAGCAGTAAGCATTTATAGACATACAACACATTGAAACTGCACTAACCTGTGACTTTAATCGTCGTAAACAAAACGGCTGAAGTAGATTTTTCGCTTGAATTAGACGCTCTTGTTCAAAACTGCTTCGCACAACAACAGTACTGTTATCAGCTGCTTGTTCATTATCCCGAGAATTCATAGGCTTCTATAAAGAAAAATTACAATTACAGTGGAAAAGGAGAAAAATAAATTCAGTAGAAATGAATAATTATTTTTCATAATAAAGGGGTAGCGGCGCATTCCTTACCTTCAATAATAAGAAGAATATGCGCCAGTGATACAATGAATGATGAATTGGAAGCAGAAACCTCGAAGAACATAAAAAAACGGTGCCAAAGAAATCGCTATTTATTAGCGTTGACTTTAAAGCTGAAATTCTGAAGAGAACAGTTTATCCAGATTGCTGAGAAAAACTTTCTTTTCTGTGTCTGTTGAACTCAGACTATATGCAGATCCACTAAAACCATTTTTTTACAGATTATCTAAAAGACGAGACCGCAAAGTACAAGAGGGGGGTTAGGTTTCGGCATTTGTGTATGACGCGAAGGCGTTGGTGATTCATCACCATAACTCCTACGTGTACAGAAAAAAGGTTTGTTCAGTCTCGTATTCTAACATTGTCCTAGCCTCTTTGTTGTTAATCGTTCGCTTTTATTCTCATATATTTAGCTGAGTGTTATCAATCTTACATACTTCTTCTTCCGTACATTTACTTGTCAAGTTGACGCTCAACCACCTCACTACTCACAGAATAAAAATTTTCACTTTAACAAACTTCAAACACATTCCTTTATGGTGCCGCTGACCACTTCTCAGTAATTGTATTAATTATGTCACCTATTCCCCTATTAAACTTAATAAAAGACTACTATACGACGTTTTTAGTGATTTAATCATAACTTTATGGGGCTAAAGACAAAACAGGTGTGATCTATCAGTTCAGTAAACGACCCGATAGAATATATAAAAATCTTCTATGGATATATCTGAACGTTATTCTGATCCAGTGTCAGTGACAAAGATATATATAACCTCATGAGGCTTGTGTATCTCCTTGTGAAGCAAGTCTACTATGATTGACCAGCAATTCATGTTACTCTGAACGCACTATTTTGGATAACAAAAATAAAACGCTGTGATTAATCTACAGGGATGTCTAAAGTTGTGCTGATGCAAGCAGCCGTCTGAAACACTAAACAAGATAAGATATGATGAGTTGTTTTGCGTGCGAATTCACTAGTTTCCCTTTACATCACATATTCGAACAGAAAAAGGGCTAAACAACACTACCACCTAATTAACTCCTAACAGAAATCATACTAAATTTTAGACTTGCAGACAATCCTTTTCAGAAGTGCATTTTACTACAGATGAGTGCCATCTAGCATACATAGATCTTCTATGTACATTATATAGTGATAAAAAACGTACCGAATAAATCTGGAAAATCCGTTTCAGTAAATCTGTACTTTTGAGAAACATCTCCGGCATAACAAATGACAACAGAGATACAAGTTCCATTAGATTGTTTTGAAGTGGTGTGCCGGTTAGAAGTAGACGCCGTTGAACATTGAAATTCATTAAATTTCGATAACGTTGAGATGTCATATTCTTTAGCATGTGTGCTTCATCAAAGATACCATAATAGAAATTGACGCGTTTCATTAAGGCTCTGTCTTCGATAGCACTAGTCCGACAGCATAGCTAAAAGAAAGAGTATTCAAATCCTAGGTGACAAATAACGACATCTTTTGTTTACAATGAAGCATATGAAACCTGCTGGTTACAAAAACAAAAGTATTTGATTGTTTCACGTCATGCAGCATCCCAGCAGAGACTTTATTTGGAGTTAAGTAATTGTTCAAAAGGATTTCGCTGACATCTTTTTCATGCAACCGAAGCTTTAGCAATCTATAAGGAAAAGGCTGAACTTTGAGTTCAGAGTCGTTTTATTCGGTTGCTTTTGTTACCACGACCTTAGTGAATCGCATTTTCGTGGGGTTATTTTTGCACACTTAACTCCGTATAATCTTTTTATTTATTTTACTGATTTTGAAAGCCATTTTCAACTTTTTGTTCTTATTTTGTTTCCTAGTAATCACCGCTTATATAATCAGTTGCAAACTTTCTCGACTATTATTCACTAGTTTTCACGCTTGGTTATTTTTTGAACATTAGATTTATTTTTTCAACCTTTGACCCCCGTTGTAAGTTAACACTGAACATAAAAATCTCCCAATTAAGTGTAGAGATCTGATGAGAAAATACAATCTTTTTTGCTGACCTATATGACACGGGGGAATTTTCATAGCTTGAAGAGTTTTAATCAAAGCAAAGAGTTTAAACGATGACAAAGAAACGTGTTGTAAAATGCACACAAACTCAGGTGTGGATGAAACAAGTGCTTACCTAGTTAGCAACACATTGAAATCAGCTTGAGCTTCAGATTCATAGATTTTTAAACGAATAGCTTTCCGCTGTTCTGCAGATCCTTGATAGACAAGTACTTTTAAATGAGGACACCAAAGACTCAATTCTCGTTGCCAGTTATCCTGTGTGGAACTCGGACAAATGATGAGATGAGGACCACGATTTCCATTCTCCCACAGGCTGGCTAGAAAAGCGATAGCTTGTACAGTTTTCCCTAAACCCATCTCATCTGCTAGTATTCCATTGACTTGTTCATGGTGTAATAGACGGAGCCAGTTGAGACCGACAAGTTGATACGGTTTTAATTCACGCCTATAAGATAGGAGGAATGGATATTATAGAAACTGAATTAAAGAAAGCATATTTTATGTGACTCTGGTCATATAGCAGGCTGGTTTGCAACTTAACCCCCAAACGGAGTAAAACAGTCGGATGAATTGACATATTCATAATGGATTGATAACCAAAAAAATATCAGCATGGATACAAGAGTCTTGTTTGGCATTTACCAACTTGCGTCATCATCATTGGTACCAGTGTGACATCCAAAAAAAGCATGTTTACTGTACAGAAATCCCCTCCATCCTGTGAGTCATGGCTGCTGAAGATGGAAGATATGAAAAGACTAGTGGTTTTTGACCATGTGTATCTCCGTCCAATATAACATGATAGGTCAATATCCATGTGGGGAGTAACAGTGCCGTCATGAGGGATAAACTAATCAACGAGGTTGTGAAGTTCCATACGGTACACATGTGGAACCAGTGCCTTTCTCATCAAGCGATGTTGAATGACATATGATTAGGCTGGAAAACAGTTGGGATAGTCAAGTAAAAAATGGCATCAATCAATGAAGTCTTTGACCATTAGTTTGAGATCAGGTAATATGAAATCTCTGGCAAATAAACATCAAATTACTTACAAAGGATTAAGAATAGCGGGCTGCTGAGTCAAAAATTGTATAGGACCTCCATTCGCTTTGTTTACAACAAAATCATCCCTTTCATGACTAATTCCATCGGATTGGTTCTGATCTGTAGCAGCACTTTCAGGCAAGCTGATAGTATTTTCAAGCAAACGTGCTGCATGCGCGGCAACTTGTTCAGTTAGACGTTCACATCTATTCAGTAGCTGGATAACCGAGGAACGGACGACTAAAATATCCTTACAGCTTTCATACAGGTTGGAAGAAAGATGACGAACTCCTGATAACTGGGTAACCACATCTTTGGTACTTTTAAACGGACGCATATTGATAATTGCTTGTGCAGTTTTTCGTGAACAACCTGGCATTAGGGTAAGTTCTTCCATTACAGCGTCATTGAAAAAGGAAAGGAGATGACGGCGCTCTTCATTGGTAAGGTCAAGACCCTGAGGAGATCAGAGAAAGAAAATAGCTGTAATAAAAGTCCATATGCCCAATTGATCAGTCACATAACCACGACATAAAACAAAGAAAATCCTAACTATTTATGACAAAACTTATACTCAAAAAAGAGCTAGAACACAGAATGAAGAAATGGATAACAAATATTCTTGTACCCCCCCCTTAGCAACCTGATAAAATGTCACTAGTTTACAGTGAAGTCGGATAATTATTTAACAAAGGTTTCAGTTCATGAACTAAGGTGTTTACAAATGTAGCATAACAGACATTCCAACCCGCTATAGACAACTAGGTCTTTTTTGATCCTAGAACGTCATAGTCACCTGACGTTTACCTGGAGTCAATAAAACCAGATGTGCATCATACAGTAACATCCAATTTTAGGCGGTTTAATATTCTTGAGCTAAGCGTGATAGGTTTCAGTATGCAGCACACATATATTCACATGTTCACTGTTCATATCAATACAATGCCTGATGAAATAGGATTGGCTTAAAGTAGGCACTATGCACTTTCACAGTCATGGATTGGGCGAGTAACAGTCCGTATTTCTGCCCACAATCAGCTCAATCCATGAAATCACTAGCAAATCAGTATGGGCTTGGGCAGTTAAAGTGTTAGAAAACAACGGTTAGAGACTTCATGGTATGGTTCAAAATACATTGCTATTGCCCAGATTATTTTACCCTAACCGTCTGTTGTTGCCCGGAAAAGATTTCCTATTTGCTACGAGCTCGCCTCCCAATTATTGACGGAGAGTTTATGCAACTGCTAAGTTCCCTGAGTTGAAGTAGACGGAACGGAATTTGAGCTCTAGACCCACTGGTTGTAAGTCAAACATTAAATCCAATGATGAGGTGTACACATCCCCCCGCCATATCGATCTCTTAAAATAAGAAATACCAAACACAGCATCACCTTTGACGGGAAACATAATTTAACGAAATACTTTCTCCAGTCAAAACTTTGAGGGTGTGCCGAACATTTGATGAAGATAAAAGCAGAACGAGTAACACATAAAGAATGAAAATAAACAACCAAAACTTCATATCTGGAGCAGAGATTAAATATTAGTATTATTGAGTCTGTGGGTGAAATTCCTATCAAAAATAAATTATCATGATTAGCCGAAAAAATTCAAGCAAACATTTACTCGGTGTACATACAACTAAGTTGTCGATTCTAAATACGTAGCTGGAATATTGTTTAGCGAACAAAATCAAGTTCTATGTTGAATCCAGACAGACAGAACAAAATCAAACGAAACGCACTGGTTCAGGTAAAAAGTAAGCGTAACTTACATCATCTTCTGTAACTGGCTCAACAACGGGTGAAACAGCCATTTCCTTGCCAGTATTCTGAGCTTCTGTAGACATTTTCTGTCGGACAGATTTCCCACGACGATCAAGCCGTTTGCGAGTGACTAAAAGGCAGAAGATTAAAAATCTTTATGAAGATGCTTTTCTTCTAGAAAATGACACAATGAACTGACATTTTTTCTCCTCTGAAATTCCCCATGTAGTACATACCCCACACACTCCTCAAGTGTTCCCATCTAAGTATGACAATACAATTAACACCTATCTCCAAATAAAAGTTTACATACTATCACAGCTATTTTGGGAGACTAAAATGGAAGTAAACGTTATACAACGAGCAAATGATCTATGAATGGTTTACAAAAGAGATGGAATCTCGTGACCAACAACACTTGTAATAATATCCTAAAGTTGGAAGGAGAAGCAAGACACTACACAGAAAGTAATCTCTTAATCTTTGAACTCCGTAGGTTTCCTTACAGTCCTCTGAACTCCGAGTAGACTTTCAGTAGCACTGATGCTTTTCTGTTTTGTTTTACCTGGTGGGGTTTTCTTGTCTTACACCCAGCTATCCCCTCCTCTGTACCAGGCGGGGGATTTGAACACTGAGCGATGTTCAATAGTTGGCGAACATTCTTCCCTTGAACCAACTACGCTAAATCTAACTGTTTCTGAATTCAAATAAGTTTACATTATTCACGTGAAATCCAGGTGTTTGCTATTCTTTTTATTCTTTCCACTGTGATTATAAAAAAGGTGGCTTGTGAAACTGGATACAGGTTAAATGGAATCCATATTAGTGATAGTAGTTAGCTATATCTCACTGCCACATCAGAATTTGATACAGAATAAATATTGAAAGTGACGCATAGAAATAAGTGTATAGGATAAATGCAGTATGAAAAAATAACAATGTCTATACAACAAATTACGAAATGAACGAATCACACAGCAAAGAAAGTCAAATCAGTTTTAATTTCTAGGCACTGTAAGAGAATCAGATTTTGTTTGTATAACGCTAGTATCGCTCTAGCAAACAAATGATGCTTCTTTAAAAGTAAAGGTCATTTATGAATACTTAGTTCCGATAGGAGTTATGTTAATATACCCATGACTACAACACATTGACTATTTGCACTTCACAACTACAACACACTCTTGAAGAAAACCTTTCACCAGGCTTATTAGTCAACTTTAAGTAAGTTGGGGGAAGATGGAAGGTTGAAGAACGTGAAGCTAACAACCTCATCCCATTAAAAAAGTGGCTTTATTGCATATCCCCCCGCCAACTGTAGCGCCTTATAGTACGTTGCTATGGCGGTCTATTGACAAGTTGTTTATATTTTTTGAAATTTTGCATTAATAAACTTTTTCTGCGATACATACATGTTATCGGCGGCGTTATGTTCTTGAACTGTTACATTTAGCTGTATTTTTATCAAAAAAGGTTGCTTGATTCTGATATCTGCGCCGAACAATGAATTAAAGGAGGCAGTGTAGGTTCAAAGGTTTAACGTATACTAATGAATTTTCATGAAATTATGCCGGTATATTTTGGCCTATTTATTATTGAAACACCCAACCGGATATAGCAAATGGCGCTACTTTAAATAAGGGATATGCAATATAATCGTCCTCCGGAAAAACAAGACCGTGGTTACTGAGACTTCAAGGCTTCAAGTCTGGAGCCCCGCTCAAAACGCAAAGGAATGATGAAATAAATACAAAATAAATACATAAATAAATAAATCACTGTAACTTCCTAATGAGGATATATATAGCCTACTAATGCACTGGGAGTTAATATGCACATAAATTAAAGCCTAATGACTTAAAGCAATATGCACACAGACTGATAAACAACATACCTGAATTACTTACAACACCAACTTTAGCCATATACTTTACAGCATCTCCTGACTTCCGACTAGAATCATCACTATCCATATCAGATTTAGCTGTTGCAGTTGCTGTTGTGTTAGTTCGACTAATAGGTGTGCTAACTGTAGCTGTTCGCATCTCTCTATTAATGTAACCACGTTTCTTCTTTTGTGCTTCACCGACATGATCTGTACGAAAGAATTTATTACCCTGTTGTGGAGTGGTTGTTGTCTCTTCAGAATTTTGTCCTTGAACATTACTATCATTATTGTCAGTATTATTATTAGTAGTAGTAGTAGTAGCAGTAGTGGTAGTATCCTGCTGATGAAAGAAATTTAAACAATTGGAAGCATCCCACTGTTAAATTTACTCATTAAATTATATTACACATTTATGCGTCGTTTTTTCATGATTGAACGCATACACACACACACAAACATAGAAACGATGTTGCAGCGTATGCCAACCAAATGAGTTTGTGAAATAAAAGACAAAAGCAAACTTTTTCAAAAAAACATTCGACAAACAGAAACTGGAAACGCAACTAGAACAAGTAGAACTGTTTTCTGTCGACAACAGACAGACAAACAAACCGAACAGTAACAATAGTACAACTCACCTGGTACTAAAGTCAGAAGTAACCACAGCAAGTTCGAATGCTAGGAAGAACAAACAGAAACTGAACAAAAGCGATTCTGGAGTATTCTCTTTTTTTGCTTGCAGATAACGAAATCTATTGTTCTTTTTTTTAAAATATATACAATGAGTACTGCATCAGTTACAGATGTCACAGTGGACTGAATGTAATTTTAATTCTTAAAATATGAATAGGGCATTGTAGACACACTAACGTGAAATACTTAAGAATTGCAACACATTTGTGAACTGTGAACCAAAAATTGATTTGTTCAACTGCATACCTTGAAAAGTTAAGAGTATATATATATATAACAGGCTGTGAGCTATTCACATCTTAGTTTTGCCCTCTGTACTGAGTCACTGTGTAGCATCGGCTGGTGAGCTCCGTCCAAAACGAGTGTGAAACGGCTGCCGAATGTTTATACTACTAGAAGCACTTCCACTGTTGTTCTTGCTTTATTCAAATTCATCAAGGGGAATAAATGCATGAAGCACTTCTACTGATTGATGTGAATGGTATTCAACTACTCACTTCAATCATTCAGTAGTATATATGTATTTTTTTCCATAACCATTCGCTACTACTCCTCACCTGTGCGTCGGAAACACAGCGGTTAGGACGCTCGCCAACCATGCACATGGTCCGGGGTTCGGTTCCCCGACCCACGTACTCCTTTACCTCGCTAAGCCAGAAATAATGCTGGTAAAGAGGAAAGGTTGGGCATGAGGCTAGCAACCCCATCCTATAAAAATAAACACTGCTACAGAAACTTCAAGCCTCTTACTTGAAGCCCTATGTTCCACTGGGAACGTGAAGGAAAAATTATTATTTATTATTATACTACTCCTCACCTACTATTGACCCTCGCTTGTTAATCTCCTAAAGTATGTACACAACTAGAGTGGATGCACCTGAGTCTTTCCTTCTAAGAAAAAAACTAAGCCAAGCACACTAATAATCACAAACTTTTAAACTAGTTAACTGATAACTATTTCAGAAAAATGATGAGAATTCATCTATCAATTGACACTGAAAATTGCTTTATCAATGCACCATAATTAAGTAATCGACTATAAACGGTTCACATTCAACAGGTTTATATGGGATTATGGTTGATGAAAGAAGTCCAATGTGACTAACTATCCCAACAGTTCTCCTAATCTTTATGAGTTTACCAGACATAACCTACAACATTCAGAAGACGTTAAGCAGACTGATAAAACATCTTGGCTTATTTCAATTCTAACAGATATTTCCGAGAAGCCTTAAACAATATCAGTTGAAGTTTCCTCTTTTCATTATAATGACTAGAATCGTGCAGTATTCTGTTAAAGATTACAACATTATTTCACTGTGACTAGAACCCTTTATGCATGTTACATGGACTAGAATACGAAATAGAGTAGGTGCATATTTAGTAGGTCAACAAAAGACGGGTGAAATTAGCGATCTGTATATAATAATGGAACAATTGAAAGCTTAAAAATTGGTAACTTACTAATGTTGATGCTTGTCCTTCCGAAGGTGTGGGTGGAGAGTGCCTAAACTGGGCGATTTGATGAATGGGAGGCAAAACAGTTGACATTGGCGACAATTTCAGCTGAAAACAATGAAGCAACAAAATGAGAGAAAAAACTGTTTGTACTTATAAGTTCAAGTGAGTTAAGAGCAAACCTACACCAATTTGAAAATTACAGTTAATGTCACCTACAGTCTTCTACTGTTTGTTGTAGTGATTTGATGATAAACCTGCATCCTGCTAGACAACTTAATGGATGACATTTCTTGATCTATTCACCCTTAGTTTTCTCCCCACTTAGTCCTACTTTGCTAAATAACACTGCTGGTCAAAGGATACGGCGGTTCAATATCTTACCTGAACATTTGCGAACCACTGAGTAAGATTAGCTCATCAAAGGAGCTACAAGTGAGATTTCTGGTTAAGTGCAGGAGGAGGAGGAGGAGGTATTACGGATTAGATCTCTAACCGTATGGTGTTAACCAGTGCGAGGTACACTCCAACTTGGACCACCTGCAGTTGCCTTCACGACACCAATCTGGCTGTTAAAGGTCAGTCCTACAACGATACTGTATGAGCAATTTTACTCTATGCCGGTGAAACCTGCAGAGGCTCTGCACATTTAATCACTGCTGCTTCCATAGAACTGCTAGCATCCGATGACCTAATTATGTAAGTAATTCTGAGGTCCGTCAGCGTGCTTAAAGACAGTACTGGAACGTCATCTTCAGTGGCTTGGGCATACACTATGAATATTATTCCAGTGGCTTACATGCCAACGGGTGATTTATGCTTGTCCTAGGACTTGGTGGGAAAACCGAAGGAATAGAGTCAGCCTTTGGCATGGTGCCGTGGGATAGAAGATAGGTACACCATGACTCCATGAGTGGGGGCCGAGATATAATTCGAATTTGTCGCTCGAAAATCATCATATATGGCCAAGAATTGCAATCGGTGGTCAAATTGGTGCGACTTTCTCCTCTCTTCACCAGTGAAAGTGACACGAAGTAATGAATCATCCTTCGAATGATACTGACAAGTATGATTACTTGCATTCTGGATGTTGTTTAGTCTTTTGTGTGGCGCATCTCTCGGTTCTCATACTGTACCAGCTTTGTGTTTTAATAAATAAATAAATAAATTCAGCTATTCTTAGCTGATGGCTATCAAGTTTCATTTGCTTAGGGTAGATCTTCCCATACGAAACATCGCATATTTTATTCTCAACTGTCATCATCAGTAACCGCTTTCACTATGATCCAGATCCTTACGTTGACCAAAGAATATTCAAGTACCAACTGGTTGATTTTTGTGTCAAAAGCTTTCCTATCTATCAGTAAACTGCAACTAATAGTCCCGAATATTGGTGTACAAACTGACTGTAGTCTTCGATTTAAAATACAATCCATAAGGAAGTGTATCAACATACAGCAGTCATGTTCTGGTCACAGTAAGTAATTATAATAGCTCTTGAAATATCCCTTCCTTCATAATCCATAGTAGAGCCGAACACAGAGTATAACGCTGCAACAGTCCCAGTTTTTATAAATCAAAAACGTGATCCGTGTCTGTAGATACATTAGTCTAGAATAAGGACAGGCTTTCAATTTTATTAAAGCGAATCAACTGCATCCACAGATCTGCTAGTAAAAGTGTAGTGCTTGTCTTGTCTCAGCCTTTTTATTAACTGCACCAATATGTCAATCACGTGAATATATTGTAGTGAAGAATTAATATATTGGTTTACTGGTAAAGATGACTGAATTTTAATAGAATATGATAAAATAATTCGCATTCAAGATATGTGGTGACGCTAATATAGGGCCTGAGGTGTTGCAACAGAAATCTTTAATGTAGATGTGCCAAGCTGAGTTACTTCTGCTGGCAGTCATGATCTTAGGGGGAATTAATAGGCTTTTACAGAAAGTTGGGGGCAAGCCAAACAGTGATACAAAACTTTACATCAACTTACCCCACTGAACAAGGATGGTCTAGGCCGAGGTGGTTCAAAGTGTGAAGATGGTGATTCTGATAAAGAACTTGATAACCCTGTCGAATCTAAGAATTTCTGTTCATGTTCATCAGCGGATTCAACAGTGCCTTCCGGTGTCACAATAACTCGACGATAAAGTGAATTGGCAACATGTGGAGGACAACGACCCAAAGGTAATCCCATGCACAAGAAGGCTTGTGACTGTAGAGGCAATTCAGGACGCGAAGGAGTCTTTGAATCTGCTGCTTAGACAAAACATCGGAAATGAATTAAATACAAAACACAAAACAAGCAAGACATAAGTTTCAGCCAGTTTCGAAATTATACACCTGATGTGACGTTCGACATACTTGTGGATGTAGTCAAATCATATATATTATTGTACGAATACTGAAAATGATACGCGAAGCTGCATATTTCGAACGATGGAAACATGACTCAAACTGAATTAATCCATCGGGAAGGATATCTATCAATTACTAAATAAGCAGTGACATTTATGTGCTTTCAGATGATATACAGTGTATTAAATACTACCGTAATTATAGTCGGACAGATATATACTAAACAAACAAAATAATGCTCACATCGTTTGGATTCAGCTTTCGGTGCTTGAATAAGGCGTACTTTCGCACACCTTTCCCGTTCACGATCGTCTTCCTCTTTTAACTGCTCGTAACTCTTCTCATAGCTTAGCATATTGCGCGTAAAAACACGATTAACGTATGCCCTTTTAAAACGGGGGAACAATTTTAATAGCTTTGCCAACTCTTGTACACAATCCTTCCCTTCGTATGTGCGTATCTTCTTCTCCATTCTGCGAGAATAAACAAATGTAGAGAAATCACGGGGGTATAGAGAGAAAAATTGTTTCATGACTGTCCTGTTAATAATGCTAAAATGTAAATCTTTATTAACCAACAAACCACAGACCGATAAACAACTAATGCAACATTTTAAAAAAGTTATATAAATCAGCCAATAGACAGTTATTATTAGTAGGGGTTAGTGCCACACCACAAAGATCCCAAATAATTACACCTCTCACACTTTCACATCATGATGCTTAACACTAGATATTCAACTACTAGATACAAATCAAGCTGTTGGTTACAATTAACTTATCAGAATCCACTACTTTATTTGTTTTCCGTAAAGCCTCTCATTATTAAATTTAAAATAGTGGTGCTTTAATGAGGTAGAGGTATGAAAGTAATAACAGAACGGGCTGTAAGCGTAAAGTTAAGCTTGATATATCTTTCAAAATATAACATTTTTTATTTTTATTTTTTTGATTTACAGCTTGATTCCACACTGTATTTTTGGTACAAGTATGGAATTTTCAGCATGGATATCGGTAGCCCAAATTTTGCAGGCCGACCATAGATATCAGATGTGCGTCGGTGCGGGCTCGAACCCCGGACCATGTGCATGGTCGGCGAGAGTCCTAACCACTGTGCCACCGACTGACCTATCCTTTCTAAACATCCTCACTCATTACAGCTTCGAAAAGTCTGCGATATTACGAAAGGTTGACGCCCGTCAGCCTTAGAAGTTTGGTCAAATGTAAGCATCTGAATTAGTTGGAAATAACATTTTCAGGAGAGTAGAGACGCTCCTAAAGTTTGATTAGTTGACACTAGCCACGGAAATAGGAAGACCCGGTTACATCAAAAATACCACTTTCGCAAGTTATCAAGTTACCCCTAGAGGACATGAAACTAAAAGTGAAATGGCCCCAATGGTCGATATCTAAGCATACAAAATCCATGTTTAACTCAATGAACTTTTAACTGAAAAACTTTCAGTAGATATCCAAATTACGCAGCGTTACGCTTTGAATTTTCCAAGGGTTGATCCTAAATATGTTGCATCTTTCTCATCTTATTCATTCTGTTTCGTTTCCTTACTATGTTTCTGTGGTGGTTAGGACTTTAATTTGTGTACTCTTAAGCAAGGTTCTATCTATCAAATTCGTATTGAAAACGTGGTTAAAACCATGAAAACAAGTAATATATATATAAATAACATTTAAATTATTAGTACTCACACATCATCTAACGGGACAGAGGAAAACCGCCCACGACCACGTGTTTTAGAACGCATTGCAGGTATGAAAAACTGTTGGGATCTCCCAGTAGAATTAATTCCACACATAAAACTAACGTTGTCATTAATGGTTGAATCCGCATTCGATGTTTGTAGTGATGTAGACGACTCACCTACCCCAGGTGATGTATTGACAGGCAACGTACTCATAGCATTCATATCACCTGTGGTGTTATACACTATTAGAGTAATTTCATTCAAGTGTGGACTTACTATTCAAATTGACGATGTAATGCGGAACATTGGGTTCTCCTAAAATAAATATATACCAAGAGATACATAAAAATCAGGATAAACGAGTATGTATGAGTATACAAGTAATGCTTACTATCAGTGTACTCATCCAGGGGACACAAAGAACTACTTCAGGTTTATTTCAGACAGAATGAAAACGACACTTGAACCAAGCACGCTAGTCACTGCGTGAAATTTTGAACAATGATGTTGTGATGGATACCAATACATTCTATGTACTTCCAAATAAAGAACCATGGATATAGCTAAGACTGAATCCCTATAAAAAGAGCTTGAGATTTAAAGCGTGTTTAGCCTAATAAACACGCATACTGCAGCCACCGCACGTTAACCGTAAGTAGTCGCACGTTTGTGTAAATTTGAAAATCTACGTCCTGAGCAAATTTACTCAGCATTTCCAGTATGTAGGGAGAATTTGTAGATTAATACTAGTAGTGTATGGATACGGACAAATCTACGTGTACTGTTTTCAGTTACCGAACTTCGAAAACGGAAAAAGCGCAGTAACGTAATGCTGGGAATGTGCATAGCAGGGCACTGGTGTTTAGGATCTCAAAGATCAGTGCTGAGTGCATCTGTACCGACGTGAAATTTCCAGTCATAGCATCGACACTCTCTAAATACCCGTTTGATTATTGGTCTGTATTTCACAGTGAAATAGGGTGCAACACTACGTGCACACTTAGTGGCCATAAACAACTGAGTCATATGATTCCAACCCAAAAACAAGTCTTATCATAAATGAGGACTTTAAAATGACCAACAACATTCAATGAACCTTCCTACATATTTCTTAATGACGCAGAGGTCAGAAATAGGCAACTGTCAGAAGGTTATAATGAACCAAAAAGATGAAGGGTACAGTATGACAGGATATTTCAAACTGACATAGAAATAAGTGAGGTTGGTATATGACAATCAGCTTTACTTTCGGAGCATTTTGAAGTACTTTTAACGACTGAAACCGTACAGCTGAATAGTATCTGGAATTATGGTCTATGGTCAGAACTAGGTCAAACTTTACGGTAGTTACAGCGTTTTGGTTCTTTTGCGTGATGAGCAGCACCAGCAAAGATGCATATTCTGAACAATATGAAGACAGTGCTTTTAGAACTCCTTAGAATAGTAAACCTTAAAAGGTGCGTAACGATCAAATCTGAAGGAGTCTTCCGGAACCATCTAGTTACGATGAAGATACTCTCTACTTGGCAACTATCCTACTTTACACTGGTATATTCCCATTGTACAAACTCAACACTGAATCTCGTCTGGTTTAGATTGAGAATACGACCGTTCTATTCTATAAACAATCAGAACATATGGCAATATGGGTAGAAACCTATTATAGCACATCTTTATTCGTTCTTAGTGTGAGATTATTTAGTTTCAAACTCACAAATCTAAAACATTCATTAGGCTTCAATTTGGAAGTTGAAACTGTATCACGGTCGCAGTAATAATTAATACACGTTAACACGGCAGACAAAAACACACCAAAAACCATGAGATCTTTTCCCAGTTTAAGTTGTGATGATTGCACCAGTGCGACAGTTCAAAACTCATGAAACATCAGTACGAAATCACATAAAATCTACAAATACAATTAAGACGGCTTCACAGAACCAACGATATGGACATCCTGAAGTGGCAATAATATATGCTGGTATTCGTACCGGTTAGGCAAGTGACCTACAATGTTTTTTCGCCGTCCTAGAAAGCAATTTCACCATCTAGATTTTGCATTTTCCAACATGTAAAGCAGTGAAACAAATTAAATTAGGTAGGAGCGACAAAATTAAGAGATTAATAAATTTGATATTGCGAGATTTATACTACTCATATCTGAGGCAGTAGGGTAACAAGTGCTTGTGAAAAATCATAAACTAGTAATGAACTTTTTACGACTCTGTGTCACATTAAGGCCCTAAGAATTACCCGATTCATTTCCTGTATCTATGTTAAAGTTCTCCAGATAGTCAGGAGCTTCAATAGCAGACGTTAGAGAATTTGAGGCTATCCCACTGCCGACTCTCCCGTCTCGCTGGTCCCCACTTTCTGTGATTTGACTTTCAGAGGTCACTAAAAAGGAATCCAGTGCATAAAAACTAGAAACATGACTTACCGGTGTTAGAATAATCATCCGTCATCAGGATGAGAAAAAAGCAATATGTCCGCGCTAATCTTCAGTGTGATGGTTCAAACAAAGTGGTGTTACACTTATTCAAAAGACAGCGAAAAATGACCTGTTTTGAATAATCAATTAAGTTACTTCTACATAAAGACCAATATTTCAGTTATTAGAAAAATTACCCGTTTATTGCGTACTCTGAGACGGAATCTAACTCTACAGTCAAATTATCAATTTCAGATGTCTTCATTGGGGTTTATTACCGTATATTCATCCTTAAAGGTAAAGAAATTTTATGTCCAACATGCAGCAGCTTGAACCAATTCTTCTATATGAATTCGTCTAGAGAATATCAAGGCATATAGTCAAACCCACACTGTATTATGCTACTTAGAATGAAGTTAAACATTTGTATGTAATCTCCCCATGACCAAAAGACATTGCTCACAAATGATGTCTCGCTGCACATACAGTTTCAACTTGACAACCAACACTAATTTCAGTTCTGAGTACCTGGATGAAGCTGTGGGAAGTTATTATCTTTAAATGGTGATTTGAAACCTACGGAGGGTGATTGACTCCAAATACACTATTTCCTAAAGCTTATTTTACTTGTCTACCCTTCCTTACCGTCCTTTTCCCTTTCCAACATTCTCAGTAAGGCAAAACAGAAGATACTTAACCCTTCTGAGATTTCTGTGAGTGAGTAACTTCTGACAAAAGTTCTATTGGCTCAGAATTTCAGTAAAATTAGTACTTTTCAGATGGCTTGCGAAAAAGTGAAATTAAACAGAGCACATTCAAGGAGGTCTTCTCCAGGTACTCATGCAACGATATCATCGTTGTTAGAATTCCTAAGGTTGGTACTTTAGAGTAAGTTTCAGGTGGAAAAGGCATTTTACATCCGAAGTTCAAAGAATGATATGATGAGAAAGCCTATATTATGTTGATTTTACTGGGTGGCGGAATAGAGTAGATCTTATCTGAGAAACCACTGAAACTAACAGGTAAACAAGTATTGCATCTAGCTGTTGATTTTCCGTCTTCGTATAAGCCAACCATTCAAAATTGTCCACGCCATCCCGGTGAACTGTAAATCGCTATTAAATTCTAGAAATAAATGACCCAATATTGGCTCTCAAACTTCGTTAAATGGTATTTCCATGTGACAGATTCCGGATGATGTAATAAGCAGATGACCTGGTCTGAGAATCCTAATATAAAACTCCGTTTCATATAATGGGAATGTGTTCATTTCACAGTGTACAATCAATAAACTATACGCTTACGAAATCGAGAGGTGCGTTGGTGGTGAAGCCATAGAACGCTTGCCAATCAGGCATGTGGTCTGGGGTTTTACTCCAAGCGACGGGCTCCTAAACGTCGCTTTGCTGGAAATAAGCCAGTTAAAGAGGGGAGATAGGGCATGAGACTATCAACCTCCCCCTGTAAAAATAAAATCGCTGATACCGAAAGTTTAAAGCCTGGGTGTGAAGCTCCGTTTTCCCCTGAGGACACGAAGGAATAAAAAGAAGAACTTCGGATAAACATGCTCACCCGTCATGAATTAGTAAAAAGTTCTTTACTTTCCTTATTTCATTGTATGTTAAGATGTTCTAACACCTCCAACTCTAACTATAAGGACTGAGTGACGGCTTGGACTCTGCTTGTGTTGGTGCTACCACATAGCAGTTACAAGACTTGGAAAATACTTTGATTAGTGCTCTGAAACCCTTCGTGCACCGGTTAGAAAATTTTAAATGTTTAGGCTACAAGCACTAAGGCACCTTTTGGTGGAGGCGAAATAGGTAACAAAATTTCGTAATCGGAAGTTAGGTTAACAGCCTCCTACACTATAGGAATCTGCAGAAAAATTCAGCTGTGGAGTGACATTAGACACTCATATTTTGTGAAACAGGGACGATGAAGTAGTCTTCAGTCATTTATGAGCTGCTGGGAAAGTTAGATAAAAATAATGTAGCGACCAATACTTCGGAAGGGAGGCGTAGCTTTTCCAAAATGTTCCAACTATTTAGTTCTTTATTGCCTTTGATTTATTCATTTCTCCTCGGGATCTCAAACCCCGCTCCTGCCTTTTGGACATCGAGTCTCCACTTGCATATAAGATTTCGTTGTTTCCCCAAATACACCACATGCTGCTGATGATAAATGGTCTAAGAAACAGATATCTGACTTGTCCGTCCTCCTATAATGAGGTTGTTTTTGTGGCAACATCTTCTCTACATGATTGTGATTTCCGGCCCTATATTACATTTCTCTTCTTGATGGTGTTGCACTCTTAATTAGTTTTCTTCATATGCTTTTCGTATAGTATGGGCAGGATCACCTCATAATGAAAACCCCTAGGAGTCTCCCGCCTTGAAAGCAAATTTCCTGCTCTCATCCCATCGAGCACTGTATTTGTGCCCTTAACACTTCAGCTTACCCTCCGTGTCAATGGGCCTTTGCCTTTTCTATCTCAAGCTGTCTTCGTATCAGCCTTCTGTTTTTTGTTTACTTGTTGGATAGTTCGTTATCATTGGCTGTCTTTTCAATTGTCCACGCTTTTACCGAAGCAAAACTGTGGGCTCCCTGCTAACTTGTGCTTTTCTCCTTCATTCCTTTCACTTATCGGTTGGCTACTTCACTCACTGGTAGGATTAGACGTCTAGTGACAGACATGCCCATGAGAGTCTTGGTCAACCCAGTTTAACCTATGCGCTACATCCTTTAGTTCAGTTTCTCCCGTCTAATATGTTTACATGCCAGAATGTACTCAAAAGTGAATTTACACACTTACAAGGGAGACCTTTGTCATGGAAACTTCTAAAAATGGAACGCTGTTTGGCTATTAAGGAGTACGGAAATTTCTTTCTACCATACTGAATCGCATTAATCCGAAGGGCGCTTCTCATGTGTATGTTCCATAGCTTATAAGAGTTTATACACGGCCTCTGCAACCTCAGTGTCATAGTAAACGGGAAATTCGGAGAACTCAATCCCTCCTAAAAAAATCTAATTTTCCTGTTATTATTTGACGATGCCCAGTGTGCTAGTTGATATTGAGCCTGGAAAAACAGGTGAGACACGTGCCGTGCTGTGGTCTGTCATCTCAGAAAGATACCCATCATTACTGACACTTCAAAACGGAATGAATAAGGCGTATTCCCTACTGGAATCTAGAGGGAAGAATAACACCGCCGGTGAAAGCTTTCAAGAAGGCAGTTGACCGATTCATCTTCTTTCAGTGGAAGCGAAAGCAGGCATATGTACGCGGAATTTCAGCATAATGTCCGTGACTGACTGGGAAAGCTGTTTAAATTACCTTAGAAATGGAAAGGTGTGGTACGAAACTGCCAGGAATCTGTTAGGGCGGATTGAATGGAAGTGGACTTTCCAGATTGTTGGTGGTGGGGTCGATAATCCGGGAGATATCCATGAGCACGCTAAGGTATTGGTTTTCATGAGGTCAACAAAAGCATCGATAGCTCTTGTGAGAGGGGAACTGACCTCCCTGTTGATGAGGATAGCAAGATTCAGTTCAAAAGTTAGGAGGGTTACAATATCCAGCCAGATGGCAACATCAAAATCCTAATAGGCAGTATGAATGCCAAACTGGAGGCAGCCAATACGGTAGGAGAATTCATCATGGGTCATTATCTCTTCATGAAATGAATGAAGACGGAGAATTCTTAACAGATTTACTGGAGTTTGATAATTTGGCAAATGGAGTTAGTGTGTACAAGTACAAGAATATAAACAAACGGACGTAGTCTTAAGGGGAAGGACACACCAAGAATCAGACAAACACAGTCTCAGTCGGAAATTATTGGAGAGGCAGGTTACCGGATGCACAGTCGAGCAGGTTTACGTCTGGATCACTGCCTAGGGATTATATTCCTTAAAGAGAAGTTGGGAGCCTCCGAAATAGCCAATGTCTTATGCTCAGAGACTGACAGATGAAACAACCGAGGGCACTTTTCATTATAGTCACTAGGAGGGACTCGGGAACATTGAGAATGATCAATGTGGGATTGCGTATGGAAAAACGCTGAATTTTCGAGAAAGACTTGACGGGAAACCCCTACACGTGTCTTGGGTGAGATGCGTAGGTAAGACAGGGAATGGCTATTTGCGGGCACCTGGTTGCCGACAAACGGCATGAGGATAGTGAAACAGAAGACTAACAGTTACAGCAATGGAGGATGCTGGGGGCAGCTGGGTATAATCTGCAGCGCACTGAACGATGAAGTTAGCGGAAACGTTTGGAAAACGAGAAGGCGTTTCCAAGAACAATGGCAACTAAAGCAGACCAGAATACGGAGAGAGGATATCTCTGATCACAACATCAAATAACCAGGCCACTATCCGTTCAGAGATTTACGCCTTTGTGACAGTTAAGGAAGTTAAGGAGTCCGAACAGGTGTAACGCTGGGTCGAATACTCCAGAGCAATAGAAATTCGTCCAGTGGCAACGTCAGCAGACTGATAGTAACCAGTGAACCCTAACATTCGGCAAAAGCGGACATCATGAAGGCCATAAATTCTAAAAAATTCGTGAAAGCAGCAGGATGAGATCTCTCCAGAAACACTGAAAACAGCTCTCCGAACCTCAACCGCCATGCCCGCTACTGCAAAATGTGTACAACGAAAGAAGACCACGTATCAGCAGACTGAAAAGAGGCCTAACTTACAAACTGCCAAGTAACAGCGACTCATCCGATTGAAGATATCGTATGGAATCATTAACCTATTAACTCCAGGCGAAATATTAAACCTGGCCATCTTGGACAGATTAAAAGTTGCACTGGATGGAAGACTCCGTCCGAAGCAAGCTGTATTTAGTAGGAAATCGTTATCTTCAAACCAAATTGCCATACCACGTATCACCTTGGAACGAAGCGCATAATGACAAACATTTCTATGACTCACTTCCATCGAACATGTAAGTGTCATCAACAGCAGCGACCGTGAATTAATTTGATAATTTTCAAGTATTGGTTTTGTAGGGATTTTGTT